TCGATGTTAAGAGAGATTTTTGTTAATTTTCAACGTTTATTTGCATAGTTTGTTACATAAAGGTTTTTTCAATTTATGTGAGTTTAAAGAGATCTCAGTGATGCTTAAAAAAGAATAAATTTAACATGAAGACTGAGTGATTTTAAGTCTGGTTAGTCTGACTGAGTCTGATTAGTTAGAGTGATTAAATTAGCTAGGTGTATACTGTAAAATATGTTGATTTTTGTCTAAATTTTGATTTGTTGATTTCTGTAAGATTTTCTTATTTTTTATTAACCCTCAATACCGAAATAATCCCGGGATCGACTAAGTATAATCCCGAAATCCTGGGATTAGAAATAAGGACCGGGATCGAATTCCCTAATAGTGACACAACTCAAAAAAATAGATCTTCCAGAACAGCCATTTAAAAGTTTCTTGTTTCCTGCAAGGCTTTGTCATGATCTTGGATTTTTAAAATTTTTAAATCTGTTTTGGAAATAAATATAGAGTTTGTTCTTCCACATAAATATATGGGGAGCTTGCTATACATTTCTACAATAAACTCAAAATTGGAAATTTTTGAGTTGTGTCACTATTCTTGTGCAAGAACGATTTGTAGTCTTGGGAAAGAAATGGAAAGACAAATTTTTATGACAACAGATACATAAATCGTAAATTTAAGGAATATAAATTCTAGAGCTTTTTTTTGTACCTTGTGCATCTCATTCATTAAATTTACTTGTAAATGATGCTACCAAAGTAACAGTTAATTTTTTAACATTTTTTTCTGCATCTCCTTATAGATGGGATATACTACTGTAAATCATAATATGTAATTTAACATTGAAATCTATAAGTAATAGAAGATGGGAGAGCAGAATAAATATATCAAATATTTTAATGGATTTTTTTTTAAAACTCCTGTCAACTTTACAGAACTATCATAAAAACATACCAGTAAACTCCTAACGGTTGGGTTAAGTTATAAATCTACTCACAATTCACATAATGGGGCGAGGGTGGCCGAAAATCTAGCAAGCAGGCGGCTAACAGCCCAGAACCGATCCTGGATAGAATCATGTTTTAGTGTGTAGCTTCCACCAGCTAAACCGCCTGAGGTTGGTGCTCTGTAAAGCGCATGAGCAAATGCCTATAATCTGGCTACTTTACACCGTTCAAATACAGTATTTTTGCCCTGGAAGCTGTCCCATATTCAACAATACAGAGCTTCCGTTGGGAATATGCATATACGTATTTATATTCAAATATACAATAGCAATCTTATCGTTTTTCTCACATGTAGTATAGAAATTTGTAATAAGATACATAATGTGGTTATAATAAAATATTAATTTTAATTAATCCAAAATACATTAAAATATGAAAATAATCGCACAATATGTATTTATTTTTTAGAAAATACAAGAGAAGCGGCACTTCCACCGCTTCCAATGATGGCACTCCACTAAAAACAAATTCTAGAGATTTTCAATTGTTTATCTCTACTTTTGTCATAAGAGCACTCAGTTTTTTGGACAGACTACTGTTATTCAATGAAGAATGGCTTATGTATTACAACACTAAGTGATCTTATCATTGACTATCATCTAGGGAACATGCACCTTCATATCAAAACCTGAAGTTTATCAACAAAAGATTTTGTTGTATTTGATGGAGTATAACAGATATTGTTCATTATGAGCTCTTATACTCAAATCAAATAAACACAGGGGAAGGTTACTCTACTCAGCTGCAATGTGTTCATGAGAAACATTTCCAAAACAGATGGCACTGATTAATCACAAAGGTATTGTTTCTTCAAGATAATGCAAAAATCTCACACTTAAAAGAATGACTCAGAAAAACTCCACAGCTCTTCTTGGGAAATTCTACTACACCCACCATATTCACCAGACCTCTCACCAACTTTTACCTTTTTTGTCATCTGATAATCATATGCTTAACCAACAATTTCAAAATCAAGAGGAATTGGAAAAGTTAGTTGAGTGAGGATTTTATTTCTAAAGATAAACAATTTTATAAGAAAGAAATTTATAAACTTGTTTCTCATTGGGAAAAAGTTATTGTGATGTTTATTTCAGAATAAAATATCCTTGTTATTTTATGATGTTTTACTTTTGTCTAAAAAAAACTGAATGAACTTTTTGGTTACCTGATATTTTCTATACTTTTAAACTTTTAAAAATATTTTTATTATTATTTTTAAAAAACATAATTATTTTTCTTTCTAACTATGAGATAAAAAAGTGGAAAATTTTTATTTCATAAATATTTTAGAAGCATTTTTCTAAAGACATTAAACCTATGGTTAGACATTCATATAAATAATAAATAAATTTTAAATATTATGTGAAGAAAATTTGTTAATTAATAAACTTTATCTGTTATTCTGCAATGATGATATCTAATTGTAAATTGTTGGGAAATGTTTCACAAATGCATAAAATCTAACCAAAATGCTCTAAATAAATATGAAATGATAAAACTGTTATATTGGTGGAAAATTGAAATTTCATGAAAAAGATAGATTAAATTAAACAAGACATTATTTAATGTCTTGTTTAATATAATTTCAATGTAACGTAAAAAAAACTAGAATATTTACATTTAAAAAATTAGCATATACATAACATATTGATATATGAAATGATACCTAATTGTAATTATGTATCATTTCATATATCTTGACCAGGAATTATACAATGGAAAATAAAAAATTAACAATAAATTAGCAATAAATATGAAATTAACACACTGTAGTGGTAAAATAATAAAAGCTTGACCAAGTTAGAGTTCATAAATAGATATCCATGTGGTAGATAAAGTGTTCATATCACAGTAGTTTACACAACTATATGCACTGTTAGCTTTATAAATTTCTACAATATCTTCAAGTATTTAAGAGAATTGAGGTCTGGCTAATCTGATGATTTTATTCTCATTAACTTGTACTTCCTGCTGGTTAGCATAAGCTGTTAGAACTGTATTGCAGAGTTTCTTGTTGATGGTATACCATACCTGTGCTCTTTAATCCTTTGGTTTAGGTTGCACCTGTAGTTTCCACATAAATAAGTTTCCTGTTAAGCTGGTGATTTAACAGAAAATTCATAACAGGAAATAAAAGCTGAGCCAAATTTTTATTATTTTACTACTACAATGCATTAATTTCATGTTTATTGCTAATTTATTGTTGATTCTTTTATTTTTTGTTGAATTTAAATTTTATATGTTCTATTTTATGTTTTAAATTTTATCTTATGTTCTTTTTCATTCAAATTTTTGTATATTCAATAGTTAGACAACTGAAGAAGACCAAGAAATTTAAATAAAAAATGTTTTTGCATTATTAAACTTGTTGCTGGAGTTTATAAGGTGCAGATTTTTGTTTTATATATGTGATACTAGAATTAATAAAAATAAAGATTTTGGTGAGATTTCACTTAGCAAATTGATTTTCGAAAAAAAATACATTTTATTAAATGATGTTACTCTAATGAAAACTATTAATTTTATTATATTTTAAGAAAAAATTACATAAATACATACATACATATATAATACATATGTACTGTACAGAAATATATAACAAAAAATTTACTATTCAGTTTAAAATAAAAATTAATCGCCTAAATTAAATATATGTACTGATATTTATAGGAAAAGAACTAAAAATGTAATAGGATAAACAGTTCTCTTATCGAGGAAAATGAATCTTCAATCTAATTTTTATAAGGACTACATTAACTGATATGCTAATCTAGGTTATCATTAACTTAATTTCACATACATAATTTTACACTCAATGCTGATCTCAGTTCTAAAAATTTCTTTTACCAAAAAAATTATTTTTCTACCACATTTCTGTCTTAATTTTCTTCTATATTAATAATAAATGTATTTATATCAGAATAAGTTTTTTCAATAATTTCACATATTTAATATATAGAGAATATAAATGAAAAAATAAAGTAAAATTAAACTCACATTTGCATGTGATTCCATGTAGAGCCTTAGTAAAAAGAGGTTTTGCTGACATTCCATCTGTTTCTGAGGCTGTTACACAAAGAGATGCTTCATCTTCAAGTGCAGATTGGAAATCTATAAGTTAAAAAAAATAATAATATCCAAAGCAATTCTAGTTTGCAATTTCTAGTAAGCAGGGATTAGTAAGTATTATAAAAAAAACAAAAACAAAAAAAAACAATTTCTGTCTGAAAAATAGGAATATATTTGCCACTGAAATAATTTATTTAAAAATAATAATAGTGCAATTCAAAAATATAGTAAATATCCTTAGAAATATCATTAAAAATTAAATGATTACAGTAAAAAGATCAAATAAATTAATAATGTTCAGTTTATATCAATATAAAAAATTGATTTCTGAAAAGTTTTTTATAAGTTGTTTGCAATTTATATTATTTTTACTTTTCATTATGTTTTTATATTAAAAACATTTCTAGTTATTAATTTATATAAAGATTAAATTATTCAATTCTTATCTGCAAATACTTAGACAATTATCAATTACATTTGAAAGATTTTAAAATATAACACAACTAATTAATAAACATCTATTAGTCTTTATTGTTAAAAAATGGATATTTAATGGACATTTTTATAAAAAATTATTTTCTATTATTAAAGGTAATATGAGAAAAAAATAATTAAAAATTCTACTTGGATATAAATGGAAATTAGAAATTCACTGAAACTCATTTTTATGAAATTTACTTAACAGAAATAAATTATTTACTTTGAAAATGCATTCAATGATAAAATTCAATGATTCAATGATAAAAAATTAATAATACTAAAACATTAATGAAATTGCCAATGTTTTCCTAATAGTATTGATATTTAATAGCTTCCCACTATAAATATTAGATAGTATAAGCCAAATAAATGTTATCTATTCATCTGATAGATAATTTAAATTATTGTTTTAATATTTTTATTAAATACTTTTAAAGTGAGTATTAAATGCAAATAAAGTGTGAATTTTTAAAATTCAGGTAAATTACAATATCAATTACAGAATTAATTAAAATAGATATACAATGTAAAAGATGGTAATAATATAATCACTGTATTACTTCTCTTTACTGAAAATAATTGGCTATTTTTATTAAAATAAATAAATTATAAAATTACATTTAATCTAAACTTGTTTACAATTTTAGATTAAATGAAGTACAGTAATACCCCAAACTTACGCGATAGGTGGGACTGAGCAATAACCGTGTAAGTCGAATTTGTGTAAGTCGGGGTATAATTTCGCATATAAATACATACAAATAATTTTTAATTGGGGCCAGAGACTAAAAAAAGCAATAATTTAGAAAAAAATGTTTAATAAAATCTTAGATAATACATATGTATGTGAGAGTAGCCGGGGTTACGGAGTTGATAATACTCGTGTAACACTTAATCGGCACAGATTATCCGAAATCTGTCTCCTTAGTTTCGGATCGTAAGATCCGATCTTAAAAGTTCTTATAGGAGGGCGATAATCGCTATATGATCCGAACTGCGAAGTTCAGATGCTCGTCAGGATTCCTTGACACCAGTTAATCAATCTTATTATACGCGGATTAACACGCGTATGTGATCTGATTCGGTCACGCAATTAAAAGACATTTTTAATTAAACGAAATAATAAATTTAATAGAACAAAAAATTAAATCATACAAAATGTGGATAAACAAAAGACAGAACTACTACCAATAATATACAAATCAGGAGATCGCTAAGCTTATATTATATCCTATTCGCGATCGAGAGAGAGCTCACAAAACTCGTTATAAAACATACGACCTGTTTCAGATGTCGTTTGTCTTCTTCTCTGTATGCAAGTTCAGTTACTTCTTCATATGGGAGATCAATACGTGCACACATATAAAAGTATATTTCCCACGTGTAGACTCTAGACTTATTCTGTATGTGACTCGTCTGAGGACGTTGGTCATCAGGAGGAAAACGTATGTGGAGTTTGGACGCTTTCGGATCTGTCGCTGAACTCCTTGAATTCTGTCAAGTTCCCTGTATATCTTCGGAATACCGACCAATCATCGGCCAGTAACTCTTTCGTGAGAACGGATGAAAGGGGAATGAATGAGGGGTAACTATTTCCCTTCGGAGCAGGATTTTAACCCGATAAGGGAAAGTCAGAGGATGTACTAACTCCAGTGAAAGGAAGTGACATCTGTTATCTGCCCATTCCCACGTTAAAACAGTATTTTTCTCACCAAAAATGAAATATTTGGTGACATTATTTTAACGTAAATAATAAAATATTAATTTAGACCCAGGGGCCTTTCGGGTCTCACATGTATAACATATTATATTATTATACAATTTTTCACAATTACTTGATTATCACACCATAATTTTAACATTGTTTCCATCTCAGTGATAATACAGTGACAATACAGTGACATTTACGAATGATGCTTGAACTTAAAGATCGATCATTTTTCGCAGCTTCGAGAATTTTTTCTTTACCTTTTATAATTGTTCTGACCATCGATTCTGGTAGATCAAACTTCTTCGCAATTCCCAAATTTTCATTTTTGTATCGAAGTCTTTAATAATGTTAACTTTACATTCCAAAGATAAAGTTTTTCTTTTCTTGTTTGATGCAGAAGAATCAGTTCTACTTCATTTGGATGACATAGTAGAGTCTCTCAAGTCTTCGTAGATGTAACAAACACAGAAATAAATAACACAAAATAAATTGTAGCTATGCATCAATTCCGTGCAACATTTCTGAACATGTAAGCTGAACAATAGTGTGGGGGAGTGAGTAATCAAGAGTTGCGTGGCACTCAAACAAAAAACGAATCGGCGAGATTTGAAAATTGCGTAACTCCAGGTTTGCGTAAGTCAGGGTAGCGTAAGTCGAGATATTACTGTATTCTTATTAAATTTAATTATTTTTGTCATGTTTATATAAGAGATGATNAGTCAGGGTAGCGTAAGTCGAGATATTACTGTATTCTTATTAAATTTAATTATTTTTGTCAATATCCATCATTAAATATCTATTATTAATTATTTTTGTTATTTAAATATTCAGATATTTATGTTTTTATCATGTTTTTAAATAGTGTATAAAAGATAAATTTACTATCAAATAGTATTTAACTTTTTAAAAAAATTATGCATATAACCAAATCACTGAATGAATTAGATAGATTAAAAAGTGTCTGAGAAAATGTATATCCAGTAAAATAATCATTTCAAGTGCATGTTATTTCTTTAATATTTCTAATATTAATTAGCAGTTCACTGAAATTAACTTATACAGATAATTTTAAAAAATCAAAACTAAAAAGTTTTATACACCTATTAATAGAAAAGGCAGATCAAGAATCTTAATTGTAAAAGAAAAAAAAAAAAGACTAAACTAGCAAAATGTCTACAACTATATATTTAACATATTTAACACAATTTATTATTACAGTACTTGTTTTAAAAGAATTCAAAAGCTGGCAACATTATTTTCTCTAATAATGTTTTAATGGTAGTAACTGAGCTTAAATTAGTCTTAAGCAACTTATTTAAACTTTTAAAATAATAAATATTTTATTCCAATTAATTCTAAACTCTTCATGTGTCTAATTAATAAGGTATAAACTTAGGACACAAAACAACAGGTTATGGGCCAAGCTCAAGAACAGTTCATACTGCATAAAAACTAAAAAGAAAGAGTGAAACAAAACTAATGATGATGTGCAATAAAGTTGTCGTGCAATAAAGTTGTCATGCATTATGAAAACATTAAATAACCTAAAGTAAAATATGGAGTTAGTAACTGAACTTGAAGATTTGCATTTAATGAATAAACTAGAAAAAGCAGAGAACTTTCAGATGTGGAAGTTTAAAGTAAAGATCCTGTTTAAAGCACAAGTGTGAGATCGGGTCTGTGAAGGCACCACTCACTGTCTAGGATCTTCAATGTTATGCTTTAAGAAAATTGAAAAACGTAGGTCTTTCATCTTATCAGGATTCCTGACACCAGCAAGGGTAATTCTAATTTATGCTCCAACTCACGATTATAGCTATCGGCAGTTTAGTGTTTGCATGGTAATGTCTTAATTCTAATTGAAAGGGTAAATTAAGTGGCAGAGGAGTTGTGTCAATTCACTCGATAGATGCTCAGACAAATCCCTTTGATAATTAAACTATTTATTTCTATCTGGATTAATTATACAAAATATATATACAAGCTAGCAGATACATCTCCAAAACATACAATAAACTACACCAAAGGTAAATAGTAGTTAAAGCCAAGAGAGCTTACAAAATATTGCATAATACCTCTTAATAGTAATTTAATGGTTTTGGTCAAGACTTCATTCTTCTCTCTGTTGATGGTAAATGCAGAGAGGAGTGAGAATCTATACAGTCAGGCTATCTCAGTTAAACAACAGATGAGAGCCTCAAAACTGGGGTGTTTGTCCTTTTTATTTTTCCAATCTTTCCCAATCAGGAGTCAATTTGTTGCTCCTGTGACAGGATTTGCAAAATGAGTCACACTCTTGATGTATCTTCAACAGAGGAGATAAAAATCTCTCCTCAGGATACATAGAAAGGAGTTATACTTCCCTCTTCTCTCCAATTTCAAAAGTAAATGAAAAATTTTGTTAGTTAAAATTTTGTAAATTCGCTAAATAATTAAAATAAATTTTAAATAACTCCAAAATTTCTTTGGTTTAGCTTTCCATATTCTCACAAGGCCTCTTTGATATTGTTAATGCTATAAAAGAGGTACCAACTAAAAGTAAATATTTAAAGCAGTACAACTTAAGAAATGCTACAGCTTAGAAAATAATTATATTGATAGTTGACAGGAAGTTTTTAATGCATATTCTGAACTATAAAATTTTTAAATGTTTAAAAATTAAACTAAAACTATAGTTAAAACTGAACTAAAACTAAAACTAAACTAAAAAACTATAAAATGTTTAAAAAATTTTGTGAAATATCTCAACATGATAACCAGCAAAAAAAATTCAGCTTTCCACAAGACTTTTTTGATTTTAAATTTCAGCCTGACAGAGATATTGCAACTCACATAAGCAAAATTAAAAATT